AAAAAAAAAAAAAAAAAAAGATGGTGTAATAAGAATTAATGGGAATTTACCTCTGTGCAGGTAAATTATTTTCCAAAAGTCAATGCAACAGTATCTCGATGGCACTCTTTACAATGTGACTTTGAAACTACTCCCATGGAGAGGTGGGGTCTGATGCTCCCTCCCCTGGAATCGAGGTGGACTTTTGACTCCCTCCCCTGGAATCAGGGTGGACTTTGTGTCACAGTGAAAGTCGCACTGTGTAACTTCTGAGGCTAGGTCATTAAAAAAAAAATAGAGCTTCCAATTTTCTTGGGGCATTTGTTCTTAGAATTTAGTCACTCTACAAGAAACACAAGCTGTCCATGGAGAGGCTCACAGGAGAAGCTGACAGCCACATCAGCTTGCAGGCCACAGGAGTCACCATGACAGTGGAAACTTCAGTGGGGTCCTGCAATCCCACTGAGTGGCCCCAGCTGATGGACATTATATAGAGCAGGGAGCGTCTTGACCAAGCCCTGCCAAATTTTAAATTCACAAATGAATTCACAATTTTCCCATTTGCTCATTGTGGTTGGAAAAGATACTTGGTATGATTTCTATCTTAAATTTGTTAAGATTTGTTTTGTGACCTAACATGTGATCTCTCCTGGAGAATGTTCCATGGGTCCTTAAGAAAAATGAATGTTCTTCCACTGCTGGGTGAACAGTTCTGCATATGTCAACCAGGTCCATTTGTTACATAGGTCCAATTGTTCAAGCCTACTGCTTTATTGATTTTCTGTCTGGATGTCCTATCCATTACTGAGAGTGGAGTATTGAAGTCTCCCATTATTATAGTGCTGTCAATTTCTCCTTTCAGATCTGTCAGTGTTGTATATGCTTAGGTGCTCTGATGCTGTGTGCATTTATAACTGGTATGGCTTCCTGTTGAACTGACCCTTTTGTCATTATGAAATGACCTTTGTCTCCAGAGACAGTTTTTGAATTAAAGCCTATTTTGGTGATATAAGTATTAACCACTCCTGCTCCCTTTTGGCTAGCATTTGTATGGACCTTTTTCCATCTCTGAGAGTCCTTGAATCTAAAAATGAGCTTTCAGAAATCCAACTGTACATACATATATATACGCACATACACACAATGGAAATCCAACTGTATGTAAAAAGCATACAGTTGGATCCTGTTGTTTTTTTTTTTTAATAATCTTCAGCCATGCTGTATCTTTTTATCGGGAAGGTTAGTCTATTTGAATTTAAAGTAAATCGAGAGACAGATTCACTATTGCCATTTTGTTAACTTTCTATTTGTCTTGCTCTTTTGTCCCTCTTTTTCTCCCTTGCTGTTTTCTTTTTTTCCCCTGTATTTATAGGTTTTGATTCCTTTCTTTTTTGTGTGTATATTTGATCCCTCTCTTTTTCTGTGTAACTTCTATAGGCATTTTCTTGGTGGTTACCAGGCTTACATAAAATAACTTGCAACAGTCTATTATAAGTTGACAATGTCACTTTACTTCTACAAAAGAATTCTGGTTTTCGCTCTGCTCCCCCCATGTTATATGCTACTGATGTCTCAATTTATATCTATATTATGTACCCATTAACATAATTTAGTTAATAATACTTATAATGGTTTTAAAAATACTTTTGTCTTTTAACTTTCTTCATAGATGTAAAAGCTATTTACTTACCATCTTTACAGTAATATAGTGTTCTGATTTTGTCCATATATTTACCTTTATCAATGAGTTCCCTACTTTATTATGCTCTCATGTTACTATTTAGTGTCCTTTCATTTCAACTTGAGGAGCACTGGT